AACTATGGAATTGAACTGAATTTAAAATCAAAATAAAAGTGAGGAATTTGCCTTATTTTTAGCTATGGAATTGAACTGAATTTAAAATCAAAATAAAAGTTTCGATAAAATACCATTGTTGGCTACCATGACATTATTAGCAACGGAAAAAATGTTACGAACATGAAACAAATGTATCAATCTTTGAGCAGACACAAATTCAGCAGAAAAAAAAACTCTTTAAAAAAAAATCTTTTAAATTAACTCTCTCTTGAAAAAACAATGAACAGTTGCATTCACAGCTGCAATGAAACTTTCTAACAGCACAAAGAAATTTCAAGATGTGCCAATGAAGCCAAAAATCTTCGAGCAAACAACAATTGAGCCGAAAAAAATTTATGTTTGAAGTCGCCCTTGAAATTACATTGAATACTTGCACTTGCAACTACAATTAAAATAGCTTACAGCACAATCAAAAACCAAGATGTCGCAACTAAGCCGACAACACTTAAGCAGCCGAACGAAAGTCCGACAATACAATTTTTAACAAATTTCAATTACATGCATACTGGAAAACACAAGGGCCGGCCGGGATTCAGACTCTTGACCTTAGGGTGCAAAGGCGACGGCGTTATCTCCAGGCTGAGTGGGCACGAATTGGAAGTTGTTTAGCTTCAATAAAAGAGCAAGTAAGATTAAAAAAAAAAGTTGTTTACGGGAAAGTCTAGTTCCCGATAACAAGACACTCTCGCAAGTGTAAAGGCTTTTCCCTAAAAACGCAACAAAAAACCTATAAAAGAGTCTTCGCTACTTTCATTTCTCTTAAAAAGGGAAAACACGATCGTACTTTCGAGGAAAAACAAACCTGTTGCTTTTAAAAAATTTGGCCTTCGATTTTTGTTTCAGAAATCAGCAGCCAATGTCAACGGAACTCAGACTTGGCATTTCAGTACTAACTTAAATTCATCGTGTTCTCGACGTATCTACTTGAAAAAAAAAGATGGAGGCCAACGGATTTTCAAACATACTCTAATAGACAGATAATTTTACTTCAACCTTATCTCGTTTAACAGAGTACAAAAATGAGACAACGTTTAGTATCGATAGCAGTCCTCGCTAAAGTTATGCTTCGCGTCTTATATTGGACATTTTAATGAGTAAACGAGTCAATCAATAGCTAGGAGAGTCAAAATGGGTAGTTCTGTAATTGCAGATGATGATATCTCATTGGCCTCTTCCAAGTACGCCTCCCTGGATTTAGTTGCATTTGTGTGGCGGTCTTCTCTTATTGATCAATTGGGTAGCTATGATAACCAGGGATGTTATTCAAGTGCACCATAGGATATAGGGAGGAGACCTAGGATGTCTCGAACTTGGATGCCTCGTCGAAGTTCTCAACCAGTTCTGGCATCTCATCTTCCTCTTCGATTGTAGCTCTGGCCATACTGTCCAGTCCAGAGTCCAGCGCCGACTTACCGCCTGAAAATACCACCTGCACTCTAACATAAGCACAACAGATAGCGACTGAAAATAGAACGGGACGCAATCCAGGCATTTATATCATCATTCGAAACGGGTGTCAACGTTTTGAGACAATTTTATGAGCAGCAATTGAACCAGCACATAACAACGGAAAATACAGTGAACCAAAAGATTTGGATGAAGATAACACGCATTAATGAAAAGGCAGTCCTTCAAAGATGTGAAGCCTAATACACTAATATTACTATATTTATCGTCTATGTGTAATACAGAGAGAACAGACTGTTCCTAATTAGTTGGGCTACCTGCTCCTGGTTGTGCCTTGGCCAGTTCCACAAGTGCTTCGGGCGAGGAGAACTGGGGCAGCAGGTGGGGCAGCATGTCCGTCAGGGGTTTCTGGTCACTCGCTCCCTGCACAGTAAATGTGTTGGCAGGAAGACTCGCCTGCACCTTTGGGTTCTTGAAGTGGATCACGGTCCCGTCTCCCTGCAAACAGTTGGCAGCTTTTGTAATAGGATAAAATTAAAACGGTTGCCGGACATCAAGCCGACGGGACTTCAAGCCGAATCGTAAAATTAGGGACTTCAAGCCGAATAGTTCCTTATAAAGTCTAGAAATATGATTAATTTGAAAACTTTTTTTGAAGAATTTCTGAATTTCATGATCTTTCTCCACTAGTTATTGGCATTTTCATAAAATTCAAGTCTCCAAATGATGTTTCGGAAAGTTGAAAAGTAAAACATGATTGAAGACATTTTTCATAATTATAATTTATGCATTTCAAAAACCGGCTGATGTTATTAACGGATGACGATCAGAAGTGGTGCATTGTCATGAACAACGCTTATTATGGACTAAACATGCCTAAATTTTTGAAAAGCAACGTTTTAGAGATGATAAAAATAGTGTTTTGAGGTGCTGGTAAAGTTTTAATTTCGGCTTGAAGTCCCGTCGGCCTGTTGTCCTAGACCCAATTAAAACACGCACAGACAAAATCTGAATAATTCCCAAGTAGTATAAGTAGACCCAATTACGCTATCCGACATGTAACATATAAAAGATGCGGTGACATGTAAAAGATTAGCAGATGACAGTTGTAAAACGGGTGGCGTCCCTCAAGCTTGAAGGACCGAATGCTTGGAATTAATTTTTGCTTACTTTCAGCCAATCAGAATTGAGTATTTAAGATCTCAAAGTAAATCGCGAAAATCTCAAAGGAAGAAAATAAATCTGGGCCAATAGTGTTAATATTGATTGATTAGATAATAAGCAGATGAGTTTTCAAGACTGAGAAAATCTTATGATTTTGATCTCATTATCCTTGATGATTATCTGAATAGTATTGCGGTTGTAACCCGCAACTTGTAATATTTTTGATTATTTTCCACTGATTTAATACATTTTCTGTTAATATGACTTCGATTTTGTGAGAAAGGCTTTTAGCCAATAGACACGCTTAGCGATTTTGATTGGTTGAAATTTTTCAAGCATTCGGTCCTTCAAGCATGAGAACCCTCCCCTGTAAAACGTCTATGAGCAAGAAAACCCAACTCTGTTTTACTTTCGAGAAATTTTATGATTGACATTTTTTTTACAAATACAATATAAAAATGGACCAAAATTTTACCAGCTAGTTAAGCTCAAAAATAAATCCACTTTAATTTCAAATAGGGCAATTCCGTTTTTTTTGCTAATTTAGGAACGCAATTTGAGCACAGCATAAAAAACGAAAATAACTGAATACTACAAAACTGAAACGAAAAAGCAAATTATCACAAATCATTCACGAGCAATCGTTGACACTCGAACAGCATACGACCAAAAAGACATGGACCAAAAAATAAGAACGTTTTTGCTCTTCATCAAATATAGAAATGGGATCACGCAAATTTCCAGTTGATATTTTAGAAAACAAGGATCAACTGAGCAATTGCCAATGCCCCTCCCGATTCTCGCTAGGGGGATAGGGGAATAAAGCTCAATAGTTACATGTTTATAACCACTTGAAAATAGTTTGAATGATATGAAATCATAAAACAGATTATCCAACGAATCATAAAACAGACTTTCTTGAAAAAAATCTCAACTTTCGAATTTCAAAGAAAAACATAGATGCCCTTTAAGCTCTTTGATTTTTAGAACAATTTATGACTAGCGTTTTTGATAACATGAACCCAACTTGAGAAAACTGGATCAATAGTTAAAGCTTTTATTCCGCTGAAAAATGAATTCCACTTTCGAATCTAGAAATAGTTCAAGTTTTTTCGTGCAATTTCTACGTTTGGATTTGGAGAGTGCTTTTCACGTCACTTTCAGCAGATGAATTTCAGTTGAACTCAAAAAGTGCATTATATCTAAGAGCATCAATATTAAGACTTTTTCCTATAAAACAAAAAAATCAGCAATACCTATATAAGAGTCTTCACTACGTTCAATACTCTTAATCAGAGTAAAAAATAATCAACAAAACTGAGGCATATAAAACGACTTTTTTCTGTCCTCAAAGGAGGAAAAATGTATTACATACAAAAACAGTGTTTGATATTCAGATAAAAGGCTAGATCATCAACCCTGGTAAGTTGCTTACCTCGAAGTCATTCTTATCGAAAAGTAAGGCAATTTTGAGAAAACTGAATCAATATGTAAATTTTTTATTTCGCTGGAAAACTGAAAAATAAATTCCACTTTCGAAATTAGAAATCGATCACGTTTGTCGTGACTTTTACACTTTTGCTATTCAATAAAGGAGCGCCACAGGAACGCCAGGTATGACCGGTACACACTTGGGTTTCCAACAAGGCTGGAGTATTTTATTCTGCTATCTGCCTGAGTCAGATTACCCAGCTGCTATACCAGCTGGTTTACAAGTAATATGTATGTTGTACTCTGGATATTACAGAGTACAACATCTTCGATGGATCAACAACTCCACTAATGAAAGTCATTTGAACAAACTGTAACTTATCAAACAGGAGCTCTTCTATATTACACCATAAATTAGATTTCCAACAACAATACAGTCCATTTGTATTGAACTTCCTAACAGAAAATTTGTTCCTTCCGGAAATCTGAAAAGTTTTCCTTATTTTAAAATTAAGAGAAATCACTTGGCCAATGGAAACATACTACGCAAAGCAAGCTTTACTGCATTCTCTTTACCCCAATGAAACCAAATTGAAAAATGTTCATCGTTAGCATGTTGCGAAATCATGATTTTACTTACCCGGAACTGACCCACAACATACATTTTTGGTGATTGCATTTGCCCCCTCACCCCCATCCCCTCACCCTTTTAACCTCTTCATTCCTCCAATGAGTATCTAAACTGTACCTTGAACATGTTGACTTCTTCTATTGCAGGAATAGGATTCACTCCCAGTCGCTTCAGTGCCTGGTGTAGCTTCTTGTCGTCTGTGGTGTTGCTCTTTGGGATGTTGCGGCGCTTCCTCCGCGCACTCCCCTTGCCCCCTATTCGCACCTGGCTCTGTAGCTGGGCCAGCTTGTCCGCATTCATTGCTCTATCTGAAAACAAAGATAGCACAAAAACCTTGCAAGGCAAGAACATTGGCAATAGACATTTGGAAAGTTTCAATAACATAAATCGAAAAACTGTTCAGGAAAACAAAAAGCCAATAAAAATTTTTCACGCCATATGCACTTTTGTCTTAACATATTCGAAGAGCGCACATTGCCTTTATTTGTGCAAAATTATTTGAATTGAACTTTAGAAATCAGAAGCCAAACTGCAAATATGCAGCCAATCTAATTTTCAACCGAAAACCTGAACCGACATAACGCTAGAGGTATCTCAAATCTTTTCAATTTCAAGATTGATTTGTTTTTGGTTTATGTAATTTGAGTAACAGGGTGACAATTCGCAACAAGCGTTAACTAGTACCAAAGCATTTGCATTTGAAAGCATAGAAAGCTTCGCAACTAACATTCGACACGACAGGAATAGTGCGCGTGAATCACTGTTTGCCGCTTAATCTACACTTACGAATTGTCGCATGTTGTGCATTATTGCCTGCTATAACCTGCAGCGTGTTACGATTTGGTAAATTACGAATCTGACAGCTGTGGTTTACGAAAAAAAAACATATTTTAGATCGTTGTCACATTTTTGAACACCAAAAAAACTTTCGGAAAAGTATTCACATGGGTTCTCTGAGGCTCTCCCACGCATGTTGAATTGACCTCTTTTTCAACTGATTTGAAAACTTTTCCCCAGATCACTGCAGCAAACTTGAATTTTGCATACCCTAAATAAAAGGAAAGATCTGGAAGTTGGAATCGTAGCCTTGACAGATGTCTGGCTAGAAAAACGGCCTAAGTCGCAATTCAATCGCCGCACCCTTTTTTTAGCCCCGGTCCTACTCAATGCAGGACCAACCGTGTCGGAATGGCGATGTCATCCATTTCGAAGTAGCTGGTCCCACCTTGAGGAGGCGGATGACTCTGGATCCCCTCCAACCATGACCGAAGCTGGATTCGAACGCACGACCCTGCGCTAAGCGTTAACACAATAACAGTACGCTATATACGCATAATTCATAAATATAGCTTCAAATGTGCGACTTATAGACACTTAAAATATTGTTTCGTAAAAAATACTTCCAATACGAAGGACAGTCTGCAAAATTCAACACGGTAGGTGAGAACCAAGCATGAAGTTATAATACCATCAAAGCAACAAAAAGCTACTTTTTGTAAAAGTTTTCCAAACACTGGCCCAGAACCTGGTGTAACAATGAGGAATGATTCATATGAAAAAAAATATTTGATTTTTGAGTCAACAAAAAAAACTAAAACGAATTGTGCATGAAAACTAAGAAAATGCGAAAACAACATAAAAATTTTCACAAATTAAGGCGTTTAAAATGTTATAAAACCAAAATGAAGACACCTAACTTCTTTCGATATAACTTATTTAACACACGCGAAGCTGCAATTAGCAAACACTATCGAGAACACGACAAAAAAAGCTGCTCTACAAAGCGATATAAGAAAAAGTAGCAATAAGCCTCGAATTGGTAAAGCTGTTTGCTATGTCTCGGATTCGATCATACGACCTAGAGATTATGAGTCTTACGCACTAACCCCTCAACCACAGACGCTTGAATCGGTACAAACTGTAAGCACAAATAAAACAGAGATCAGATGTTATGAAATTTCCAATACTACAGATTAATATAATTAGCAGAAGTACCATTATATGCGCATTTTATTTGCAAGTTAGCTTGGAAAAAATATTCATACTAATACACTATGCTCGCAAGCTCGCTAGAGTAATAAACCGGTTCTTTAGCCGACAAAAAATTATCATAGAGCAATGAACCCGCCGAGAGAAAATCTGGCAAACTTTGTTTGAAATAATTTGGTAGCAAACTTTTAATGTTTTTAGTAGTCAACGCCTTAACTCTATTTTGTGAGAATTGTCAGATAAAAACACTCATGCACTTAATACAAAACTTTTATCGATGGCAAAGACTGGCTTCACAAAATTGCCACATGAGCTCAAACATATGTATATATATATATATTTTTTCAATTTAAATCACTGAGATACAAAGTGACAAAAAATTAGTTTTTAAAATCATAAATCAGACTTTGTATGAATGATTCCATCTTTTGTTGCTCAAGCCATTCCTAAAACACACAATTTCTCAATGAAAACACACTGTTCCATTTGATCGAGATCGGAACTTTTCAACACAGAGGCGAAGCAGAGCTTTGCACCACTTGCGATACAAACATGAATGACTATCACTTCTTGCAGATTAAGCGCCAAAGAATAAAAAGAAAGTTTTCTCAAATCTTACTCGCACTTTTACCAACCCAGGCAAAGCTCCGCTTCACTTGCAACACAACACATACATAGCATGACAAACTAACCGACAGGAGTTGAGATAAAAGCTGAAAAAAAAAACGCTTTTTTGAAAAAAAATCTCTACCAAAAACTTACATACATTTGTCTCAACGTTTCTTAAAAAAACTTCTTTCAATAAAATATGACGCCAAAAGGTTAAGGAATTGAAGGTAAAATAACATCGAAATAAAACTTACAAAGACACAAGTTGCGCCAAAAAAAACTATTTTTATTAGAAAAACTCAAAAAAATTTTCAAGTCCTCATTCAAAATGTTTAGATAAAACCTTCTTGCTCTTCAAACGACTCAAAAAGAGGCCTCTAACCCGATAAAACGTGAGCCGAAACCTCTTGAGTCAAAAAAATGAAGAGAAAAATTCAGTTTCAACCAATAGAGCGGTAAAAACCCAACCAACATAAAAAATAAGAAGGGGAGCGTAAACATTGTTTCCCTTGAAACGACCAAAAATTAGGTATCTAAGCTGATAAAAACTAAACTCAAATAACATGGGCCGAATGAAGTGTTTAAGCGATACAAAACAAACAAAAAGGGAAATTCGAAGTCAACATAAGTAAAATTACGAATTTCAGGAGTAAATCAAACACTATAAGTAAAACTTAAAAAAAAAACGCATGCAGCAAAAAACGATTCCAAGATGTGGCAACTAAGCCGATAAAAAATAAGCGGACAAACAACTGGCAAAAAAAACTTGAAACAGAATATTTCCCGTCTGAAAAAGAAAAACAGTTCCTGGTCAGATTCGAACCCCAGGCTAAACGGGCCGGGAACCCGAAGAATTTGAACTAATTATGAAACAAGGAAGTTAGCAATAGGAATGACTCCAGAAGTGCATAAGAGATGAGTCCTGTGAACTAAAATAATTACGGGGAAAAATCTAGTACTCGATTGCAAACCACCACCACCACCACCACCCCCCCCCCCTATCGCAAGGGTAAACAACAAATCTTCTGATAGCCACAAAATCTATTTATCCGATTAGTAAAAAATATAAATCATCACTTACATTACATGCTTGATAGATGTGATCGTACGGCTGACTTAGGCGGAAAAAGTTATCTACGCCATGCGCGGTTGCTTTGCAACGATGATCAACCACCCTGTCTGCGTCAAAATTGTAAGTCCGAATTTTTTCATTCCTACTAAGCGTTCCGAAGTGGCGAAACTTGGTACCCTCTTTATTGGAATTTGCATCAGCCTGCTTGAACCTCTCGATTCTGGCAGCTAACGCCTCAAGTGCTAATTCCTTATTCTGCTCCTGAAAACGGCTCTAAAGCAAAACAGATAATTACTGAAAACTGATTTAACTACTTTTTTCGTTCCTGCTAAAAAGAAGCTGATGCATGTGGGTTACCTTTTCGCAAAAGCTGAAAAGACCAGTCGGTTTATGTCGAACGAAAACTGCAGTCTCAGTTTTGTCTCGTCGCTGACCTCCTCCACCTGAGCTTCGCGTGAATTTGAATTCAAGGTCTTTGGCTTTCAACTCGGTTGCGGCTGTCTCAAGCACGGGAGAAATCTTTTAAAACACATGTGATTCTATTTTAAATCTTAACTCAGTAAATGAACGTCGAATAAACAGTACCTACCGTCACTGCACATGTACTGGTGTGCATTCTAGATCTGTCGGTGATCGGTTTACGTTGCACTCTGTGAACCCCTGCTTCAATCTCCAAGCGAGTAAATGACCCAGCTCCTCTGACAAAGAACGCAGCATTGAGAAGCGCCTGCATTCCATCTGACTTTTCATCATATTTCTCTTCAAACACATCAACTTCAAAAGAAAACTTGTCAGCTATGCCAATTAAATATTGGAATATCTCAAACGAAAACAATGCTGCTTCTTTTCCGCCTACACCAGATTTAATTTCCACATACAATTTTTCTACACTCGCATCTTTCTTGAGCATCATTTGTCTGATCCACGAGTGAGCTGATTGCAGATTGGCTAATCGCCCTTCCCTTTTGAAAAAAAAATGAGTTACTCCAGAAACAAAACTTTCGAACGAAACACAAGATGACGTACTCGATAATTTTTAAATCGGTTTCGGCATCTTTACAGAGTTCAGAATCTTCCATCATCACTTGTAGCAGCTGTTTTTCTTCGCAAATTTTAGCATGAGTAGTAGCGTAGTCAAGCAAAGCACCATGAATTTGCTTGTTCAGGGATATTTTGTGATTCGAATAAAGCACTGAGAGACAATCTTCGATAGAATTCGACAGCTTTCGCACGAAATGCAACCTATGATTCATCTTAAAACAATTTAGATATAACATTTCAGCAATTTTTTTAAAACTCATTTTTTTTCAGCATAATAAGAAGGTCGAAATTATCATTTTAACCGAGGTTACAATCAGGAGTCCCTTCATTACATTACAGTCAGTCCTAAGAACTTTCTAGATATGGAAGTGATACTGATAAAAAGAGACAATTAGAGTTGATTAAAACTCGATACGGGTTGCGTTTCTTCAAAAACAACACGTAACTCGACACGAGAAAAAACAAGAAAATGTACGCGATCTGTATGGTTCACCTCGTCTACGACAGAACTGTAACCGAAATCCACGAGAAACTCTATGCCGACGATGGAACAGGTGCTGGAAAACTCATTCGTATCAAAGAGTTGTGGGAGTGCACGAAGATTAAAGGCCCACAAAACGGCTACTTCCCGGGACAATCTCAAACCAAGATCGCAGTGAAGCCTGAGTACTTTGAACAAGCAGAAACTCTCTTCAAGGCCGGCGGAGTTATCATAATCACGTCTGGCAAGAAGTATCTGGGCATTGCCATGGGCTCAACGGAGTTTTGCAGCGAGTTTATCAGGCAGAAAACCGAGAAGTTCAGCATGGTAACTAAACAAGCAAAAACAGCTGAGAAAGAACCACAAGCCGCATACACATACCTCGTTTTCTGTATGCAGAGCAACAAAATGCAAATCTCGACCCGGAAAGTGGTCCTACCTCCAAAGCATCATGGATATCCCCGCTGAAGCTTGGACCGAACTATCTAGGTTTATCAAGCTTCTGACCGCGACCATCTTCGGATGCACACTGGACCGTTCGTTACTTGAATTTTCGCAGCTTCCTGCCAGAATGGGCGGCCTCAGCATGCACCGGTCTTCAGAATTTATCTTCCTCCTGGCTTCGAATGCGACAAAAGACCTAGAAGGGCGCTAATCCATAAACAGAACTCGGGGACACAATCCGAACTCCTTCACTCTATTCGCCTCAAGCTATCGGACCGCGAACACCGACTCCGATGGTGGGCTCGGCATGGCTCACTACTCTCCCCATCAAAGATCTAGGCTATGCTTTCAGCAAACTCGAGTTCCAAGACCTCCTTCACCTCAGTTATGACCTCATGCTAGACAAACTTCCCCGCCCCGAACTCTCATAATGATTTGCGGGACCTATTCGCAATCATTATTCGTGAAATCTGCTATGACGTGTCCATCGAGCCCATTTTGCAACCTGTTACTGAGACCGCCTCTAATCGCGCAAAGATGGAGCCTGACTGGATATAGCTGCAGAGGATTTTGGCCTCCATTGATTCATTCCACCGCTTTCTTTTCTGCTAACACTGCCTCCACTGAGTCATTCCACCACCAGAGAATCATGGTGGTGAATGACTCAGTGGAGGCAGTGTTAGCAGAAAAGAAAGAGGCATACAAGGTATGGCAGCGCACAGCAGCAGCCACAGACAAGCACATATATAGGCAAATAAACAACAGAGCAAAAAAGGTCGTTACAAAAGCCAAGGAAGATGCATGGAGGGTATGGAGTGAGGATCTGGAGTCAACAGCTGGACAGCAAAAAATGTTCAAGATGGCAAAACAGATGCGCAAAGATCAAAAAGATGTGCTAGGCTCCAACTTCATCAAAGATGCCGGGGGACAATTAAAGTGGAACCTGCTGAAGTGCAGGAAAGATGGAGAGGTTATTTTGAAGATCTATTGAACAGGGAAAACCAAAATAAACTTGAGGAAACCCCTGCAGTACATGGTCCACTAGAAAGGGTCACAAAAGCAGAAGTATCTCTGGCACTGAAACACATGAAGAGCGGCAAGGCTTCGGGTCCCTCAGAAGTCATCTCAGAAATGTTCAAGATTGCTGACCAGGGTTCTGCTACGTTGTGCTCGGTATTCAACAACATCATGAGAAACGACATAACTCCTGATAAGTGGGCCGAGAGCATCACAATACCCTTAAACAAGGGCAAGGGTGATGCTTTGGAGTGTGGCAAATACAGAGGACTCAGGCTATTGGAGCATGGCATGAAGATTTGGGAGCGTATTCTAATGCGCAGGCTGGGTGACCGCATCAAGATCAGCCTACAACAGTTGGGCTTCGCTGACGGAAATTCCACAACCGACGCTATCTTCATTGCTCGCCAATTGCAGGAGAAGTATTTGCAGAACAAGAAAGAGCTCTACCACATCTTTGTAGACCTAGAGAAGGCCTTTGATAAGGTTCCACGTCAGGCTGTATCATGGGCACTCAGAAGGCAAATGGTACCAGAATACCTGGTCAAAGCAGTAATGGGCCTGTACACTAACTCTTCGTCTCGAGTTAGATTTGCTGGGGGTGGGGTTCTGTCTGAGAAATTTCCAATCAGGGTCGGTGTCCATCAAGGCTCAGCATTTAAGTCCTCTGCTGTTCAAGATTGTGATGGAAGAAGCCACCAAAGAGGTACGGATAGGTGACCCTTGGGAGCTGTTATATGCTGATGACCTGGTGTTGTCAGCGGACTCTAAGGAAGGTGTTACAAAAATGTTCAAAGACAAATAGTGCAGTGGAGCTCCGTGGGATGAAGGTGAATATTGGCAAAACCAAACTGTTGACATCAGGGAAGATAAGTAGGGAGGCAACATCATCTGGTCAATATCCCTGTGCAGTGTGTAACCATGCGGTAGGAGTTAACTCAATTTTCTGCACCAGGTCAACGAAATCTATTTGATGTGAGATCCGAGTGCTTTGAGATTTCAACTAAAATAAATCGCAAAACAGTTGACATATTCAATCACCACGAGCGAGAGAAAATTAGAAATTACGAGGAAAGAATCCTGAATTCAGCTCATGCCACTTTCATCTATTCTTCAAGCGGTGACTGCAGTAGCCTGACCTCAACATTAATTTCTCAATTGGTAGTCCTGAAATCTGATAAGCGCAGCACTCACAACACCAAAACGATCTCCTACTCCAAAACAAACAAACTTTTGCATTATGAGAGGCACACTATTATGTATAAGAGGGTCGCGGAGTCGGACTAATTTTAGCGAAGAAATATCCAGCAATAAGTCTCTAGCAAATCACGAATGACCCGTCATGTGCAACTTCCTCCTAGAAGAAGAAAAATATTTGTGCCAGTCGGTCATATTCGGAAGTTTGACCTTGAGAGAAGCAAAAAACACTTGATTTTGGAGTGAAATTTAATTTTTCAAAATTTCGAATGGGACCTGTCATGCACGATTTTCTCGCGATAACTGAAAATCAGAAAAGAGAAGTCAGAACGATCGAGTGACAATCGCGGGAAAGTTGCTAGAAAAATCAGTGGGAAATTGCTATTCGCAATTTCAGTAGCAATAATAATCGAGAGTAGAGCTGTCCCATCTGAAACAGAGACGAGCGCATTCCCACGAACTGGACTGTTGTGACTGGAGTACTATTATTAACTGGACCAGAGTGAACCTTAGGTGGAAAGGTGGACAGCCAGAGTGTCCCAATGGTTCACGAGAACTCACAGTCTAGAGTAAAAAACTTGCTTTGTTATTGAAACTGACTAACATTAAACTCATCTTAGTTACTTTATTGATTCTTGAGTTGCTTACCGACTTATTTACTTCCTGGTTCTTGAGAGTGCTACAATGTGAGTACTAATTTAAATTTCTAGAGTGTGTTTTATGATCGTTATGTTGAGGTAAGGCGAGTTTTAGGTTGATCCATCTGAAATGGATCAAAGTTCCACTGTCTAATAAAAAGTAACTTAACGGATTGTTCCAACCCGGTTTTTAACGGCGTTCATGTATTTTGGGTATCTAGAGACCTAAGTATGGGGACGTTTCTAATTCTAGAGTGGGGGGATATTTTAGTAGTAGCCTTTAAGCTGTAATGGGTCGTAGTCTCATGTCACAAGCGAACCGAATTGGCTCCGACTGATTTGAGGTACAAAAACACAAGAGATAGTGTCCCTGACTCTTGAGCCAATGGTTATAGGGCCTATTTTTCTTAAGCCTCATGTGTGACTGCAGTAGACGAATGTTACATAGTGTTTTTATGGCGCTCCTGGGTGTTTACGACATCAAGACTACGGAGTCGAACCCACTTGAGACAGCTTCGGGCTGAATGCCCATTCTAGAGTACCGGCGGTACGGTTCGACAGGAACGTGCAAACCTTCCGGTTGCACCGTGATAGCTTTTTAAGAAAACTCAAGAAAACTTCCTGGTACGCTCTTCGAACGAGGCTTAGCTAACCGAGTAAAGGGGGGCAACTAGGGGGACAAAAACACGAGCAAAAAGACAAAAAGCGAAACAAAAACCATAAAACGAAAAAAGACAGTGACTTTGACACCAGATTAGTTGGATCAAACCTTTATATTAATTAAATAGTATACCCATACTGTTTTACAAGTTCGATCGTTTCGATCAACCTAGTAATTTAATCCAGTAACCTTAATAAAGTGCCCGAGTGTGGGGCGTTGTCAAGGGTTTTCAGATTGCTTGGAACTTAGCGGGACAACAAGGGGACTTGACTGGAAGAGGTGACCAGCCGAGTGGGAAGGTTGTTCAGGAGCACTTGATCTGAACCAATAGGAGACTCGACTGGAACAGGTGACCGGCCGAGTGGGAAACTGGTTCAGGAAAACTTGAGCTGTAGGAGACTGAACCAATAGGAGACTGAGCTGGAACAGGTGATCAGTCGAGTGGGAAAGCAGCCAAGAAGGATTTGACAGTTCTCGAGTTCTAAAGTTGGGCAGAACGGGTATCGTTACAATTCACATTACATTATAGGAAATAAGTGTAAAATTGGATAAGCGATATCCCCCGGTTTTGAGAAACGTTTTTACTTGAGCAGGCCTGGAGACAGGTCTACGGTTTTCTCTTGAGAGGTTTAGCACCCGGCGCTTAAGGTAATTTTAGGTTTAAGAAGGGGGGCTAAAAAGGGGGGAGGTTAGAAGGGGGGCTGGTTAAGTTAGAGGTTGGCGGTAGTAAATTGTAAAAAAGGGGGGAAATTAGAGTAACTAATTAGTCGACATCGTTGATTTAGTTACATTAGTCATTTACACGCGTTGGTCATAGGAAGCGGATATCCAAAATTGGAATTAGGTTAAGGTAGGTACCCTGGTCGGATCGGTAGGGGGGAACGGACATAGACAGTTTTTGTGATACCCCACAAGATCGCTAGCAGGGGGGAAGGAAACGCGTGGCAATTAGGTACCAGACATTTTTTTCGATAGAAGGTAGACATTTGTCACCTTTGAATTTTAGGTGGGCTCATCTTTCTGTTTTTATTACTTTTTCTTGCTTAGATTTTTGTTGCATTTTGGTGAGGATTTGTGTTAAAATTTTGTACGAACAGGTGATCACAAGATACCTGTGCACAGGTTTTGGTCTCAAGTTACTTGGAACATTGAAATAGAGGTAGCCAAAAAGAGAAATAAGAAAAAGGGGGGTCAGCATTTGGCTTTTAAGAGAGGATTTTGGGAAAATTTTACTAGAGCTTGAGTGGTGGTACAAGGTACGGCGAATCAAGAAGTCCCCATAACGAAGAGGAAAGAAGTCCCACCACCCAGACACTTGTCAACAGTCTTGGGACAGTGCCGAAGAAGTCTTAGGACAGAGCAGTCTGGGGACAGTCTTGGGACAGTACAGTCTTGGGACAGTGGTCTTGGGACAGGGTCTTGGGACAGGGTCTTGGGACAAGGGTCTTGGGACAGGGTCTTGGGACAAGGTCTTGGGACAAGGTCTTGGGACAAGGGTGTTGGGACAGGGTCTTGAGACAGGGTATTGGGACAAGGTCTTGGGACAGGGTCTTGGGACAAGGTCTTGGGACAGGGTCTTGGGACAAGGTCTTGGGACAAGGGTCTTGGGACAGGGTCTTGGGACAGGGTCTTGGGACAGGGTCTTGGGACAAGGGTCTTGGGACAGGGTCTTGGGACAGGGGTCTTGGGACAGGGGTCTTGGGACAGTAGTCTTGGGACACTAGTCTTGGGACACTAGTCTTGGGACACTGGTCTTGGGACACTAGTCTTGGGACACTAGTCTTGGGACAGTAGTCTTGGGACAGTAGTCTTGGGACAGTAGTCTTGGGACACTGGTCTTGGGACAGTAGTCTTGGGACACTAGTCTTGGGACACTAGTCTTGGGACAGTAGTCTTGGTACACTAGCCTTGGGACAGTAGTCTTGGACGAGAGTCTTGGGACACGGCCGGAAAGTACTGGGACGGTACCGAACAGTCTTGGGACAGGAGAAAGAAGCCTGGGACGGTACAAAGAAGAGTAGGGACGGCAATTGGAAGTCTTGGGACAGTATAAAAATTGAAGTAAAATTACAAGAAGTGTTTTAAGACAGAATTAAGATAGAACAAGACTAATTGGAACCAGGTACGGTTGAGACCACAAATAAGGAAAGTTTCTCGAAAAGTTAATAAAGAGAACTGAAACAAGGTTTTCACCACGTTGTATATTTTTTTTAAGAAATATTTTTTTTTCTCGAAAGATTTTATTCTTAGAATAGGATTGTGTATATAGTAAAATTGTAAATAAGAGCAATTGTAAATAGAAATAATGAGGCGGAGCAGGGTACCGGTAGCTGAAAAAAGACCTACCGAAGCAAAGTATAATTCGTCGCTACGCAAAACAACATCAATGGGCCCAAAGACAACAAAGAAGAACTTTTCAGTTAACATGGTCAGCACAAGGAGTACAGCGGAGAACAGGGCAAAAGAGGGCACGGAAGGGGAACGAGTGGAACCCACCATCGAGATTGATCTAGAGACACCCGATCAAAGCGTAGATGAACTGGAGAAGAAGACGACGGAGTCAACTCCAATGCCCAATGCAGAAGAACCAAACCAGAAACCCATAGAGTTCTCACCAATAGACGATGTGGAAGATGCAATAGGCAACACCGAAGAAACGGTGAAAGAAGAATCCCAAGTAAAAAAGACATCTTTTACAGAAAGGTTGGCGATGATGGTCGGAATAAAAACGAAAGAGAACGTGACTGAAGAACCAAAAGCTGAAAGAGCACGAACATTTGGGACAGTGAGCACGAAGACGACAGAAGCCAATCCGAGAGAGGAACAAACTAAAGCAGAAGCAACGGCCGAAGAAAGATCAACGGCTGACCATGAAGAGGCTACTCTTGAGCTAGGTGACTTGATGGCAAAACTGAATCAGATCGACAAAAAGCTGAAGCACAGCGAAGAGGACAGAGAAGTGATAAGAAAAGAATTAAGACACAACAAACACGAGTATCTGGATAGTTATTTTAACCTGGCTAAGGCAACAGACGAGAGCCTCAAGGAGATGACAGATAAGGTAGAAGCCACCAATAAAGAACAAGAAG